TACACAGCACCCAGACTGTAGAAGAAAGGATGCCAGTTTTAGAATGATTTCCTGATGTCCATGCTAAATAAACTTGTCACTTCCAGGTCTAGGGACCTGGATCTCAACCATGGAGAAAGATCAAATGTCTCTATTATGTATATGCATATACATAATGTCTCCATTGTATATATGAATATATTGAGACTTATTCACTTATTGAAAAGTGACTTTGTGCTCAGAGAATTCACCTCCTTACACATTAACCAGAAGAGTCAATTACCGAAACACTCTGGGGCCTTTTTGTCAGGGCTGAACTTCATATCTCTTTGACCAATCTGATTTCCAAAATGGAAACATCCTCCTCAAACTACTTCTGGAAGAGACGGCTCAGATGAGCAAACATGTAGAACACACGGACCCAAAGCAAATGATACTGTTACCAAACTGGTGGGTGTCAGGTAGCAAACAGTTTTAAAAAGCCGTCCACCCTCCATGGGGATCATCAGTGGTTGAAGGACTGCAATGTCTGATAGTCAGATACGACTTCTTTCTCAATTCAGATGCTGTTCTTCGAAAATCCACGTTCCTGGAGTCTCTTCTGGGGGAGACCTGCACCGCGATGACAGGGCAGGTCAGCAATGTCGCAGGCTGGCTGGGGCGACGTTTGGTCTCTGGATTTAAAACTCATTAGTAGAATGGCCTTTGGTAAACTGTCCGATTTGCTATACAACCTGAGCCTGAGTGAGCCTCTCTCAGAAATTGAAACTAAATAGAAGCACAGGTAGAAAAATCATTTCAATAACATTTGAGGTTACATTGTAACCTTGAGCAAGGTGATTTCTTACTCTAAATGTCCTTTAAATGTGGAGAAGATACACAGATACAAGAATGTCAAAATACTAAATGAAAACTAGTATTTCAATGGTCCAGTACTGCATATACAAGTTTTCAGTGAATGGTAGCTAATATGAAAAATTGATATCAATAAAAATGGGCAGACTAGAAACTTTATAAGTTTACATCAAGAAAACGTATGTATTTAAAATGGCATTTTCTTACCTATCAGCGGGGCAGATATTAAAAATTATATCTACTGTTGCCTACTGAATAATAAAATGTTTATATACCATAGGCAAGTAAAACTGTAAATTCATCCAATTTTTCTAATGGATCCTTTGGCAATGTGTATAAAGATTTTAAAAATGAAAATTTTCTTGACCAAGCCATACCATATCTAGGAATTTAAGCAATTTTTAAATGTTCAAAGATTTATGTTCATATACATACTTACCACAATATTGATTACCTACTTAAAAATAAAAATTAAGACATTTAAAAAATAGGCTATACTTTTAATTAAACTATGGTACATATACAATATATAGAATACCTGTAAGACTCCACACAAAACTGTTAGAACTAAATGATTCAGTAATGTTGCAAGATTCAAAGTCAATACATAAAAATCTGTTGTGTTTCTGGGCACTAATAATGGACTACCAGAAAGAGAAATGAAGAAAACAATTCCAGGTACAGTGGCATCAAAAGGATAAAACACCTAAGAATAAATGTAACCAAGGAGATGAAAACTCTATACTAAAAACCACAAGACATCAAAGAAGTAGAAAAAGACACACATATTCCATGCTCATGAATTGGAAGGATATTATTAAAATGTCCATATTATCCAAAGCAATCTACAGATTTGATATAATCCCTTTCAAAATCCTAACGCTCTTTTTCATAGAAATAGAAAAAACATTCCTAAAATGTGCATGTAACCACATAAAAAAACCCAAAATGGCCAAAGTAATCTTAAGAAGAACGAATTTGGAGGTATCATGTTCCCTAATTTCAAACTATACTACAAGGCTATCGTAACCAAAACAGTATGACATTGTGATAAAAACAGACACATAGATCAGTGGAACAGAATAGAGAGCTCGGAAATAAACCCACAACTATATGGCCAATTAGTTCATAACAAAGGAGCCAAAAATATACAATGGAGAAAAGACAGTCTCTTCACTAAACAGTGTGGGAGAACTGGACCACTATCTTCACCATACCGCCAAATTAACTCACAATACATTAAAGATTTGCATGTAAATCCTAAAACCATAAAACAGGAAAAAACATAGGCAGGAAGCTCTTCAATAAGAGGTGTTAGCAATGAATTTTTGAATCTGAAACCAAAAGTGAAAGCAAAAATAAACAAGCAGGACTAAATCTAATCAAAAAGACTCTACGACTCTACACAGCAAAGGAAGCCACTAACAACATAAACAGACAACCTAATGAATGGGAAAAAATAATCGCCTGCCATGTATCTCATAAGGAGCTAACATTCAAAACACATAAACTTCAATAGCAAAACAAACAGTCGGATTTTAAAACGGGCAGAAGATCAGGGTAGAGATTTTCCAAAGAGGACATACAGATGGCCAACAGTTACATGGAAGATACTCAGCACCACTAATCTTCACGGAGTGCAAACAGTAAGATATCACCTGACACTTGTTCAAACGCCTGCCACCAAAAATACAGCAAACAGGTGTCAGAGAGGGTGTGCTGAGGTGCGGGGACCCTCACGCACTGTTGAGGGGAACTCGAATTGGTGCAGCCCCCAGGGACAACAGTGTGGAGGGGCCTCAAAGAGTTACATGTAGAACTGCCATATGATCTAGCCATTCCTTTTCTGGGTATTTATCTGCAGAAAACAAAAGCACGAACTCAAACACATATACATACCCCCATCTTCACTGCAGCACTATTTTAAACAACCAAGACATAGAAGCCACCTAAATTTTCATGGATGAATAAATGATAAAGAAATCCTAATGGATATTTTTATATGTAATGATATATTATTCAGCTGTGTGACAACACGGGTTTGAAGGGAGAAGTGTGCTACAGGAAACAACCTGAACACAGAAGTCAAATACTCTGTGACTCCTCTTACATGTGGACTTTAAAGAAGAGAGCTCATAGCTAGGGGGCAGGGTGGACGGTGGGCAAGATGGGTAAAGAGGGTAAAAAACTGTAAAAAACATTGTGATTTTAATACCTAAACACGGTTAGAGTAAAAAAATTAAAAACAATGCCAACAGAATCACTTTCTATTCTGTTTTCAAGGGAAGGCAGCAACTTCTAATCTAAAATTTAAATGCACACATATGTACTCACATGTGCAACACACACAGACACACACATGCTCATGGCTTCTGTGAGAATCGGTCCCAATATTCCCCTTCTTTTGAGCAAAGCCTTCTTTCTGCATTTTCATTCAGCTGAGTATACCGTTTAGGTGCTCCTAGTAAAGACATAACCAGTGCATGCCTACCTTTGCTTTCAACTTCCAGTGCTTCGTTAAGAATTTTAAAATAGAAAACTCTCAATCATGGTACTTAAGCATCTCGAGGGAGATTGCTGTTAGGTGGGGAGAATGTCTGTATCCTAATTTAAGGAACACCGCTGAGTTCTACAGATATGAAGTAGCTTACGCAAGGCGACACAACTGATCAATGAGCCGCAGAACTTTATTAAGTCACACTTAGTACCTTGCACATCAGACGTCCTACATTGCTGAGGCTCCCAGTGTGTCCTGAGAAGGACAATGGAAGACAAGGCCCTCGGCTCTCAAGGGGAGTTATAATGAACAGGCACATCTGCCTCCCCCTGTTCCTGTCTCGGGTGGATCAGTCGGTTTTTATACCCGGTGTTCTATGATGGGTAATCAAAGATCCTCCCCAAATCTCAGCCCCAAAGAAAAGAGGTCCCCATCGAGATGGTTCCATTCTGTTTAGGCAACAAAAGACACAGAAGCCATCATCGTTCTCTCTCTGATGTGGCAGCTGGGAAGAGTCGTTTGCAGTGGTAGTTCCACTTTCCTCATCCTGCATCTGTCCCTGTGCCCACCCTCCGCCCCAAGACCCTTACGTGACCTTTGAAGAGGTGGCCAGGACAGGTGGCGATGTGCTCGGGGCCACCAGGGCAGGGAGAGCCCATTCTCAGGAGCTGCCTTCCTGATTCCCACCAGTAAAGTGCCCTGCCTCGGCCAGCTGTTCCTCACAATATGTGACATTTTAAAAAATCCTGGGCGAGAACTAGGAATAGTCTTCTTTCTGACGTTTCAGTCCATACACTGAGACTTGGAGAGGCTGAGGGAGTCGATCTGCATGAAGCCATCAGCAGCCATGGAACTGCTTTGGCCCCACAATCCGGGCATCGTCCACGGGGCTGCGTTCACCCGATGGTAAACACACCGCGCAGTGACCCAGGCTTCACGGACGGGTGTACGGAAGAGGCCATCACTTTCCTGCCAGCCCATCTGTTCGCTGACTCAGTTCCATTTGCTGAAATGTCCCTACACATTTGTACCCTAGACGTGTCCCAGGAAAATAAATGCTTTATGATGTCCAGCTTTGAATGCACTGACGAAATTTTGTAAGAGGTGCAAATAATTCAGTCTCCCCTCGTAACTCTAAGGATGCTAATTCCTTCTTTATCAACACGGCAGAGTATCAGGAGTTTACAATCTGTGAAAATTAATGTGTTGGTGGTAGGAATGGAACGTGGACGTTTCTGCTGTTTTACGTGTTATACCTAAGACATGATTGGACCATAACAGATGGGAGGAGCCCCCGCCTGCTGCTGGCCGCCAAGGGCAGTGGCGGTTTCACCAGAAACTACGTGTGATACATCCCTGTGTCATCGGACCTGGCAGGTCTGGCAGCTGATTGAATTTGAGTAATAATAGCATTTACTCACAGTAAGGCTTGTATTGGCTACTGGGTGGTGTTTTTATAGTCAAATATTTTGTCTTTAAAATATTCAGACAATTCAGATCTCAGGAAGGGCCAGCATCCTTCCACTGCATTTTAAATCATTCTTTTCTTTGATTCTCCACAGTGTTCTTTCTCACAACCACGAGTGCCTCTGTTATACTCCTTAGGTAGCGTATCATTTAGTGATGTTCGGGTATGTTTTGGCGCCACACCCCTTACCCAGCATCTTACCTCGGCTCGTGACTCGTAGATCGCTCTACCCTGGCCCTCCTGGGGTTTTGGTCTTTCCTTCACATCCTCTGATACTTCTGCCAGTTCATTTTTAGGTTGACCATGAAGAGCGTTGAGCTAAAAAAGAAAAAGTTGAAACTGTGATCACGTGGTGCTACAAAGACTATTTCCAGGGTAGTCCATACTAGTCTTTCATTTTGCTTTTAGTTTTAGTCTTTTTTTTAGGTGGATTCTGGCAGGTTTTGTGGTTGCTCATGTAATTGTTGTGCCTAAATCATTTATTTTTTTACTGGTAGTTGGAAACTCCGAAGTTGTTAGGAAACAAATCAGCAAATCCCCATCATCGAAATTCATCAAGTGAAAACTGGGCAAAACCCAGTTACCTTCACAAACTCTTGATACTGACAATTAAACTCTAAATTAAGGCAATTAATCCTGACCTTTGTGTCTTTAATAATAGACTTACACTGCTCTGTGTAATCCTGCTTATGTCTATTTTCTGTGCAGTAGACAGACTATAGAGATTGTCACAGAGACCAATGTGGGCAATGAAGAAATGCATCTGCATTATGCTGGAGCTGGCCAAATACAGGAGGACATCCGTAAAAGATGCCAATACCTTCCCTTCAGAAACTGCTGCAGAAAAACAGAATAAACAAGTGGTGGTCCCTCCAGGCAGGGGAATAGTATGTATTCAGCGCTGAAAAGAAATGAGCTATAAAGCCATGAAAAATAGAAGACATTTTAATGCTTATCATTAAGTGAAAGAAGCCAATCTGAAAAGGTTACGTATAAAGTGGGAGATTCTAACAGTAGGATATTCTGGAAAAGACAAAACTATGGAGACAGTAAAAAGATCAGCGGTTTTCAGGGACTGGGAAAGAGGAGACGAACAGGCGGACCCCAGAGGAGTTCTAGGGCAGTGAAACCGCCATGTGTGATGTGGTCATGGTGGGTCCGCGTTACTGTACGTGTGTCTAAACCCACAGAATGTGCCAGGCCGGAACTCAAGGTCAACTAGGACTTTGGGCGATAAGTGATGCCTCTGTAGTTCGACAGTTGTGACAAATGTGCCCCCTGTAGAGGAGGACCTGGGTTACGGGATGGCGGTGCATGCATGAGGGCCACACCTTCCATTCAGTGTTATTATGTGAATGCAAATCCACTCTAAAACAGCACATCTATAAAGATAAACAGAAAGGTGAGAAAAATCCTATAAATGCAAATTGTCATGTGGTCCCCATAGCTGTCATTATAATCAAGAGTTTTCAGCAGAACCATGAAATCTGATGAATATGTAAATAAGAAAGTACATACACATATGCTATTGTGTTTAAACTTACAGGCACCCCTGAAATATATAGGTAAATGTTTTCAGAATTCGTATTATATAATAATTTGTACGTAATCATACACTGAATGAGAGTGTAACAGCTAACATTACACCACCTATTTAGAATTTAAAAACCGTATTACTCATAACATTATTGTTCATAGAAATAGTAAGCATGCACTTAATGAACGAATGCTCTCTGTGCATTCTCTTTGGACAGCTTGTGTGTACATGTGCTTTCACATACTAATCAGAACACGGAGATGCTCCAAGTTCTCCCCTGAACTCCAGACTATGTTCCGACTCCCTCCTTCTCATCTCTGTAGGCATCCAAATGTTATACCCCATTGGAAAGTAAAGAAAGAACTTCTCCGCCAGTCTTTGCCATCTCGATGAATACCAGCTCCATCCTTCTGTTCAATCAGGCCAAATATATTGCATTTATTCTTACTCTCTTCTTTTTCTGACATGCTTTCTTTCCATACCTCCAAGAATTTTAGCCAAAATTCTTAAAGTAAACTTTATATAATTCCTCCCCTCAATCTTAAAGAACGGTCGTAGACACTAAAGAATGCTTAACTAAAATCAATGTAAATTTGGGTGTAGCCTTTAAAAAATAAGAACACTAAAAGAATACTAAATAACTGATCTTAATGATCTTTAAACTCTTTTGCTCTCATGCAGATATATTCTTTACATTTTTAAAGTTCCTCTTATGGTAGTGTATTTAGAAGCAAAAGTAAAATTTCTGATGAATTTTAAATATTAATACTTTAAAAGAAATGGTTGTATTACACTTTACTATATGCAATATTAAAAAATACAGAAATGTCAAATGCACCATTATCTCTACAAAAATTTATATTGTTAACTTTATTTCTTGAGTTTTTACTTCTATTCTGCCTCCTCCAGTTCTTCATACTGTATCATACTTTTATGCTAGAAAATGTTCTTACTCTTTAATATGCATTTAAAATATGTATGTATATATTGTGACTGTAAGGCTTCAAATACTAAAAAAGGTTTCCTTCAGCTTGAACTATCTTACCTTTTACAGGTACATGCTTCCTTAAACTTGATACAGGAGGGCACACCTTGTGATAATTACTAAATATAAACAGTCATTTGCTGGAAATGCATCTCTTAATGAGATAGATAGATACAATTTTTTCAATTAGTTTGTGTATCCATGGGTAAAATTACTTATTGATAGAATGAAGTAAGAACTACCTTTAGTTGTATTTATTCATTTTCAAATGTAGGTGCTCAAAAAGTTGATCACATGTTGATAAAAATGGAAGATGTGTATGGCAGAGCCATCATTTATGTTGCTTTAAAATATCTTTCTAAATATATGGCAAAGCTCCATTGTGACCTTATATTGAAATTAATTTTTATTCTCTATAAACTGACTAATCCATGAGGTTCCACTCCAGTATATTAATGCAAAAAAAGTCGAAACCACCTGAAATGCCAAAGGTCTTGTGACTCATTGATTAGTTGGTTTTTCAACACTAATATTTCAAAATATCTCTTCATGTGGTGCTCCCAAGTTTCCCCCAGTCTTGCAAATGTTCTAAAATAGCACTGAGGGAGGGAGAGAAGCATGCCTTTCATTTGAGAAGTGGGTGGCAGGTAACGTGGGAAGAGAGAACTTGCTTGCAAAGCTCTTCCTTAGGCAGATCAACCTTTGAAAACCGTATTTGGAAGCTGGGAATCTGGAGTTGAAAACCAGATAACCATCGCTGTTTTCTCTGGAGATTGTGGGGACACAGCATGGTGGGGTGCTGGTAATGTTCCAATGTCTGCAAATCTCTCCATGAGAACAGGGAAGACAGGAGAATAACAAAATCAAAAACCTCCTAATGCAAAAACAGAAACAGACTCACAGATACAGAGAACAGGAGGTAGGGGTCTGGGTGAAAAAAGGGGAAGGGATGGATAAGTACAGATGGGTTGTTACAGAGTAGTCATGGGGTGTCACGTACAGCACCCAGAATATAGTCAATGATACTATGATAAGTATGTATGGTACCAGGTAGATACTGGAAAGGATGATAGAGGAACTACACTTCACGCTGTTATAATGATGAAAATATGAGGAGCACAGTAAGTTCTCACCAACAATGAACATGTGCTACAGGTGAGAACATTCTAAAGACGCCTGCCCACCAGAGAAAGAGAAAATCACATTTCTCAAGGTGACCCAAACAAAGGTGATTAAATTATAAATAATGTGAAAAGTGCAGCACGACCAAGAATAAAAACTTACAAGTACGATAGGACTCAGGAATGAATTAGACACAGAAGAAAATTCATTCCAGCATAAATTAGAAAGAACAGAAGAATGAATAAAAGCAGAGATAATGCCTTAAGGAATGACTGGTAAAAAGAAAAAAGATGTTAAAAATCTAGAAGTAATAAGATAAAAGATGAGAGTGATATCAGGAACTAAAACAAAGGGGGGCAAAAAAGGAGATTCAACATATTTCTAAGTTTTCCAGTTATTTCTACTAAAACTGCCTAGAAATAATGACTCTCTCCCCAGCGATGAGGTGCTTCCCTGTGTAGTAAAAGCCCCAGATCCTGAAGAAGTGGCTTATTTCAGGTCTAAAAAGAGGCTAATGCTGGTATATCTTGTCATAGCACAGAATAAGAAAACCATAAAAGATGACTAGGATTGTGTCAGACCGTCTCAGCAGCCAATATAAAGAAGATTCTTTTCTCTATGGTAACCTTTGAACATCAGATTAATAACTGCAGCAGATTAAAGCATATCCAATAGGCTTCAATTCATGAATTCATAATCATACTAAAAATCACTAGTTTGATTAACGCTGGGGAGGCAAGTGATCCAATTCATTGTAAATTGATGGTGAAAGGATGTAAAAGACAGTGAGGGAAGGCTGACATTTATCTTCTGTAAGGCTGTGGCGGTGTAGATAATTATGCATGGGAGTTCATCAAATCAAAAAATTATAAGTAAATATATGAAAAATAACATATCCCTATTGTGCCCACTGAAAATTATTTAAAAGGCCATTTTGAATACCACCCCTGTGGAATACAACCAACACCCCCAATTGCATGTGAGTGTGGGCGCAGGCTCAGTACTTGCTTCCATAATCTAAGGTTACACATTTTACCTGACAGCTGATTTCCGTCCACAGAGTCTATCAAAGGCCAAGGAAAAGCACTTAGAGTCCCAAAGAATAGTATCCTTAACACACTTATCCATAAGGATATCACAGTGACCAATAGAGAATTATGACTTGTAGAGAACATTCCTCTGAGAAATTTAATGCCTAGCTCATCAAAAACCTAACTGGAAGGTAGATAAAATAAAACACTTAGAGAAAACCATGGGGTGCAGTTCTTTATGTGGGTGTTTATCACCCTATATAACACAGACTAAGAGAGGGTCTTAGTCTTTGAATGCAAACTTGTTGGACCAATAGGAAAAGTTTGTACAATGAATGACAAACAGGGAGATCAATCTGGAAATACAACTGCCCCCTTAACTTTTGAGTTAACCATGTCTAACACCTTCAGTCACTAAAGCACAACAAAAAATTCTGTATGTCTTAGCCACCCCAGTGGGGACTACAATGGATGTTAATTAGCAAAAATGGAACAACTTCATGTGGCTTAATGTCTTGTGACTGGAGTCCTGGCAAAGAGGTGAGGACAAATACTTGAAAAAGTAATGACCGAAATTTTTTCAAAATTTAATAGAAAATATAAACACACAAATTCAAGAAATTTAACACACCCGAATTGCAAA